GGTGGTCAAAACTAATGGTCACCGAGCTCTATGAAATCGTTGAGCGAGAGAGTCTTTTTAAATTAACAGATATGGAATAAAAGAAGATACTCATATAAAATACTCGTAGGAAAGTGACAATTTATTTGGTAAAAGTGATTATTACATAAAATTTAACGCATCGTTCTTAGACAAGATCTTATCTACGAAAGTAAATGCGCTCGATCGCTACATTGATGACCGTCGATTTGATGAATTTTGTATACAACCGATCTTTTCCACATCGTTTGGAGAAGATCTTGAACAAAGATTACCTAATTAATATGTTCGATCGCGAGAACTCAATTCTCGGATGATTAGGAACACAATTATTTTCTTTGTACCTCCGATACTTGATGAGGTTGAACACAGAAACGCAGAAAGAACGAGTGATTTTTTTTTTCTTACTATCTAATAAAAATGACATAAGCGACATAATGATAAGTAATTCACCGAAAAGAAAATAATCGATGATTACAATGGAAAAAAGGAAAAAAAAAAGAAAAAAAATATATCACCGAATCACATACATGTAATGATTTCTATCCGTGTCAATGTGTGACTAAATAGATGTGCCAATAGCATTTTCTTATTTCACAATATCGTCAGGTTTTCTCTAAGTTCTACGCGTACACTTCGACAAAAGCCAGCTAAAGAATCGAGAAGTTTAATCATTCGATTGAAAAAATTTGGCACGATCAACTGTGAAAAAATATCATCGTACTGCTCTGTAACTTCGACGTTTTTCTTTCTCTGTCTCTGCTAGGATATCGTACAACTGTTATTTCTCGCCGTTTAATTTCAGTAATCGCCTCGCGCGCATATCGTACATAATATCGCTTAACAATATATCGACTATACTGATAATGCATAAAATACTCTTCAGTAGTACAAACGCGATGTCATGTCTCAAGATAACGTATTTTTTTGTCTTTTCTTTTTTCTTTTTAGAAATCCTAGCGAACTTTCGACAAGGTCGTCAATCATGAAATTCACCAAATCAGTACGAACAATAGGCAGCTTGGAGTTCGATACCTTTCATCATACATTCTTGAAAAATTATGAACATCGAATATCTTTTCAATATATTGTTTCGATATGAACCAAATATTCATTTAATAAAAATTTTTAATATGTGTGTTAGTAAAGATAATAAAAGAACATAATGTAATCAATTAAAAATTTAAAAGATTATAATTTTTTTCATTTGTTGAATCCGCATAAGTATTTATTATTTCATAATCATGATTCAATCGGTGTTAAATTCGATAAAGACAATAAAGTGGCAAAAAGTACAATTTATAATTTTCAAGAATGCACGATAATTCGATAACTGTATTACACATCATGTCGTACTCCCGCAGCACAATCGACGTCCACAAGGAAAACTCGGCAGAATTTTGCGTAGTAAACTGATTCTCCCTGAGTGGTGATAAACTATTCTGTAGGTTTGGTGTTTTCATGTCTACTTCCCATACCACGCTATCTCATCTTACCGTCGAATATACAATGTTACTTTTATCATACAAGTTAAATCTAGATTCCTACTTAGAGTTTTCTCTGTCACTTAAAAATCCCGTCTCTAATTTCTAATTGGACTTACTAATTTAGTCGAGAGTACAATCGATTTCCTTATTTTAGTCTCATTATCCCTTAACCACCCCTAATGTGCTCGGGCTGATACGAGTTAACATTTTAAATTACATTACATCTAGCGTTTGGTAAAAGAGAAAGGAAAAAAATGATACTTTGATTTCGAACACATCGCATTACAATAATGATAAAGAACACAATGCGGTAAAAATGTCAGTCGATCCCTAACGCTTCGAAATTTTCACGCTACTTCTCTGTGCTCGATAAATAATACGTCATGATCACTAAAAAGGTGGTTCAGGGAAAATTTCAGTTTTGTACGACGAATTCGAACATACAGTGCCGGTTTTACAATCAGTTCGCTCCTAGGCAATATTTCGGTGTTGTGCAAATTATTTTCGTGGCAAACCCAATCTAGCTTTAAAATTCAAAGAAAGCACGCATCAGCAACTAATTATTTTATTTAAAACACTAATAAACTCTTTACGTTTATTTAAATATTTGTAATTAAATTTGTAAAAACTGTTTGATCAATTCCCACATAAAGAAAAGACTTGTTTCATTTCGCAATTGTTTAAGAAAGTTTTGTACCGTACAATCGTAGCGAAAAGTTGCTGAAATTTGAATTTGACGAATATACGCTCTTCTCATATAGTTTGAGTAATAAAGATTGCACAGAATTTTATCATTTATTCATAAGTAGAGTGCAGAAATGTACTTTTGAATTTCTGTTGTTTTTTTTCTCAGAATTTCCGAATTTTCTGAATTATACTTGACTTATCGATGGAAAGGAAAAATAGTGACCAAAAAAGTGTATGAAAAGAAACTTCTTCAACAACAAAAAAATGGTTTCTATTCATTTTAGCCACTTAAATCAACACGGTTGCACGTTTTCCATAAAGTCACGGGTAAATTCGTTGCAAATTAAAATCCTTATAACTTTTGATTGCTTCAGTGAATCGACTCCGGATTTTGTCACAAGTCTCCGAACATATGTAAGAACAATCTGTAAAATTTTTGTTAAATTCCTAATATTTCAAAAATAGGTACTAAACATCCTCAAATCGTTCATTGTTTTTAGCGACGGATAGGCGCCCCCGTCCCTAGGCAATTGCCTATGATGCCTAGTAGTAAAACCGGCACTGCGAACATACGTATGCATATCAAATTACACAGTTCATTCGTTTCACTAGTTTTGCGAGGCTGAGAAATTTCGTACTATGCTCATGACCACACAGTGCAAAAATAAAACGATAGCGGATAACGCATGAATGTACTTCTTCACTTTCATTCGATGTCTACGAATACTATGCCTTTTTCCGACTTCGCGATTAACATTAACGAAGAGACGTTTCCGGTGAATTATACGTTTCGGCCAATTGCACGTTTGGGACACTTGTCCGTTTTTTCACAATTTTTCGTAACACATCGCGTATGATTTTATAGTTTTTCTTTTTAGCAAATCTCTTTGTCGACTTACAAACGAGCTACTTCGCATTACATACCGTAGCCTTTGAGCGGAATACCCTATTTTCTTATTTATCAAAATCTTATTTTCTAAAATGTTCTAACTGTCTAACATTTTTTGATTTTGCGGTTTGCACACGGCGTCGCTCGCTCTCGGAAATCATAGAGACGGTGAAGTGAAAAAAGAATTTAACGCTATTTTCACAAAACGCAGCAAACGGATTAACTTCAATTCCGATATACAAGCATCCAATATACATCATTCTTAAGCAGTGTAGTTCCGCCTTTATATGATCGTGTGTTCCTATACTTTACAGAATTACTCGCGTATCGCGATCAATACATACACATATACATGTATAATATGTATCGCAAGTATTCACAAGTTTTTAAATATTCGCATTAAGATTTGTGCCGTGGTTCGGTCTTGATTTTGTGTTACGCAATGTCCCGTTATTATACTTTTAAATAATATTACCAACAGCGCGAGATGATATCTCAGATAATCAAATCATAACTCTTCTTTGTTGCAAATAAAATTCATTGTCCAAAGCACATGTGTAAATAGAAGCCATTCAAAATATTACATATTATAATTGCTTTCATGATTGACCCTGTTTCACATACAAATTGACATACAGAATTAATCCAAGTTTGTCATAAATTTTACTTTTACATGTAAATTTTATTTCATGTGCATTGTAACAATTAAACTTTATGTTCAATATATACTGATGTACTGATAACTTGATAATACTTGCGCCCTAATCATTTTGCCACAATTTTTTACCTTTTTTTTAAAATTTTTATATAACAATATATTGCAAAACAATAGAGAAACATAATATA